CATGGCAGTAGGGACTTGGTTATTAGAAGCTGGGACAGGTGATGGTGAGGAAGATGGAGTTATGTTTGGTTGTCCAGTTAGCTGAACTGTCTGACCAGCTGGAAGAGCTGCTGGATTAGCAAGAACAATTTGGTGAATGGCTGGTGCATAAGTCTGACCTTGTTGAGCTGGCTGGCTTACAATCACTACACTTTGTTGGGTTGGCTGCTGTGGTTGTTGAATAGGCTGTTGTACCACCGTTGATGAAACTTGCTGAGAAGGGAGAGGTTTGGGTGCAATGTTCTGAAACCCAACCCTTGAGGGTTGTGGACTTGGGACACCAGCAATAGTAACCATTTGTCCTGTAGCTACCTGAAAATTCTGTACTGAAGTTGCTGAGACAATATTAGATGCAGAAGTTGTTACATACTGTGGGGGTGCTATGATAACAGTGTCTTGTGGCTGGCTACCAGCTGATGTCTGTTGAGATGAAGTTTGCACAGGTTGGGGTGATGTGGTGATCAACTGTTGACCCTGTGAAACTGTAGAAGTACATGCTGGCATGGTCTGTACTCTGCCAAATATATGACTCTGTGGGACAGTTTGTTGAATTACAGTAACAGGAGTGCCAGAAGGTATCTGACCTGGTACCACGGTGTGTAATGGAGACTGTTGTGGAATTACAGATGGATGATGAAGCAATGTCTGGGAATTTACAACAGTAACAGGCTGTGGCCCTGTACTATGATTCTGAACCACAGAACTCTGTGCAGTTCCTCCTCCCACAGCAATACTAACAGGAACTGCTGTCTGGGGTATAGAATTCTGGATCATTGTAGCCTTAACAACTTCACAAGGAATTGGAGCTTTATTTTGAATGACAGTCACCGGAGCATTTTGTTGCTGGTGGGTATGAACTGAAGGATTTGGTGGAATTCTTGAAACAGTCTGTGCCATAGTATGAACACCTTGAACTGGAAAAGACATTTGTGTTGCAGTCAAATTTGAAGATTGATTGGTAACAGGAGTCCTCTGAAAATGGTTTCCTACAGTTTGTGGTCCATGAGGGATTCCTGAAAATATAGGGGAAAAGTCAAACTTTATAATGAAATGACTGGAAAGCTGCATGTAGGAATTGTTTTACTTAAGACGAGAAAATAGTTTTAAGAAATTAATATCTAACAACTTTGCATCATATGATTAAATAACAGAAAATGCTACTGGAAAAACAAGGAAAAGTTATACATTTTAATGTATACAATATACATTTCATTAACTTGGTAATATTTAAAACAATAAAAATTATTACCTGCAGGTGAAGGACTTGTAGATATATCAGGAACAGAATCAACACGAACAACAGGAGTGGAAACTGGTTGCTGCTGATAGTACATCTGAATGGGAAGTGGTATAGCCCTCCGTTTTACTCCTACTACATGAATATGCGCCTGCCCACTATTACTGGAATCCTCCACTCTCTTCACTGAATGATTTGGAAACACCGTTCTGTAAAGTACACAATACTCAGTTTTGATTACTAGCACACTAGCGAAAAACACTAACTTCTAACAATGTTTACACAACAGTAGCAATCTACTCACTGCTACTTAGATATAAATCAGTGTGATTCAAACAGCTATATTCTGCAAGGGTGGGAAGCAGAGAAAGAAATATAAAAGATCAATTCTCCAGTTTTTAAAATAACTATTTATTAACATTGTTGGGTTTTAAACAGTTCTACTGCATATATAATTAACAAAAAAGCTGCATCTAAGCAATGCCTATTTTATGAATTTTCTAAAATGTCAAAGAACTTTAATATTTGAAGAGTGTTAGTTATAGCTTATTATTCAAGATTAGAAAGGGCAAAAGTCATGTCTTTAACATATAAAAGTAGGCAGAAAAAAAGCAAACTCAATTTCTTCCTTCTCTTTATTTGATAAACCTCATAATGTTCAAACATAAACGCCAGATTTGATGTCCAAAATTGCCCTGTATTTAAACTTCCACCATACTAACAACCTAATTATATGAAATTTTAAGTAGTGGAGATATTTAAAAAATATATATATATATATTGTATTTTCTCAAGTACTAGAAGAGTTGTAAGTGATGTAAATTAACTTTACTTAAAGTTAAGAACTATGAATCCTACCTAAGACATTTATAAAATCCAGTTGATGTTAGGATTCCACCACGAGCTAATTTACTGCAAGTTGAGAGGTACTCAGAATACATTTCTGCTCGAGAGACAGAACAATCTGGATTTACTTCAAAATGAGCATTTAGCCTAAAAGAGGAGAAAAATAAATTGCATTATGCAATACACTATAGGAGAATCTATATTTAAGTGTGCTACAACCATATGAAGGCAATGTATTATAAACTAATAATTATGCCTAGTCAAATTTTACTGCTTCATATATTATTAGCAAAAATACATGCTATCTTCTAGACAGACTAAATCAAATAAAGAGATTAACTATTTAATCATACTTATTTTAGTGTAAACATCATTAACAACAAAATAAAAACTGTGTTCATATTCCAACAAGAATAGATTTGGTCTGTTGGCAACAAATATTCTGCAACAAATAGTTTTACTTAGTGAATAAATAAAACTCAGGTCCCTGTCTTGTAATATTCAAAATATAACAGAAGTTCCCAATTATGAGCTATTGCTATACACTCTCATTCCCCACTTCAGAGAAATCTATTCTTATAGATTATTTCAAACTTCAGTTTTCATAAAGCGATTTCATAAAGCGATTTCTTTTTCATAAAGCGATTTCCACCTACAAGTTAGGATTGGAGGCCTAGTTACCCTTATAGGACTCTTTCTAGCACTTGTATAACAAGCCAACTTACAACTGTTTCTTGTAAACTGCATCAAATAATAAGTACGATAAAATATTGGCAAAATGAAACTCTCCCCTCCCCCAAGAAGTGGTAGAAATGTGCAACTGAGATTTATAAGACAAAATTTATACCTAACACCACACATTTTACAGTGGATATGGTACATACTTTTTTCTTTTTAATTAAATCTTTATTGTTCAGATTCTTAACAGTTGTTCCTCTTTTTACTCCCGATAGCTCCCATGGACCTGGTTCACACCCCACCCTTGCACTTATTCCCCTCCCCCCACTGTCCTCACCCATAGATGTACGATTTTCGTCCAGTCTTTTCCGACACTCCCCACACTCCTTTCCCCCCGCCCCAAAAATACTCAGTCCACTCCCTTTCTGTGCCCCTGATTCTATTATATTCACCAGTTTATTCTGTTCATCAGATTATTTATTCACTTGATTTTTAGATTCACTTGTTGATAGATGTGTATTTGTTGTTTATAATTTGTATCTTTACCTTTTTCTTCTTCTTCCTCTTCTTAAAGGATACCTTTCAGCATTTCATATAATACTGGTTTGGTGGGGGCTTGTCGACGAAGGAGCGCCTAGATCTTCTCTTTAAACCAATCTTTGTTTTAAGGCTGGTATGTCTGGGTATCAGCCTGGTAAACAAGACAGCTGAGGTCTGCCAGATCACCAATAAAATTAAACAATATGATGTGTCTTTGTGTGGTCCTCTTTGGATTCCTTTTGTTTGGGGTTCTCTGCCCTTCCTGGACTTGTAAGTCTATTTCTTTCACCAGGTAGGGGAAGTTTTCTGTCATTATTTCTTCAAATGGGTTTTCAATAGCTTGCTCTCTCTCTTCTTCTGGCACCGCCATAATTCGGATGTTGGTAGGCTTGAAGTTGTCCCAGAGGCTCCAAACACTATCTTCATATTTTTGGATTCTTTTTTATGTTTTTACAGTTGGGTGTTTTTTGCTTCTTCATATTTCGAATCTTTGACTTGATTCTTGTGATCCTCTAGTCTGCTGTTGGAACTCTGTATAATATTCTTTCGTTCAGTCAGTGTATGCTTAATTTCTAGTTGGTCCTTTTTCATAATCTCGAGGGTCTCACTAGATTTCTTGAGGGTCTTACTAAATTTATTGGCAGTTTATAGAAAATTCTTGAAAAACCTTATAAGTGTGGTTTTGAACTCTATATCCAGTAGTTTGCTTTCCTCCATTTCTGTCATTTGTGACCTGTTTCTTTGTCTCCATATTTTTTATGCTTCCCTGTGTTGATAGAGTGGCTTTCTGTGCTAGGTGTCCTATAGGGCCCAGTGGTTCAGCCTCCCCAATTACCTGAGGTGGACACTCTTGGTGCACCCCCTTGTGGGCTTTGTGCAGTTTTGTTGTAGTTATGCCTTGATTGTTGTAGGTATCACTGGGAGGAATTGACCTCCAGGCCAATTGGCTCTAAGAATCAGCTGTGTCTACAGTGGGAGAACTTCTGTGCTGGAGACACCCTTCTGGGGCAAGACTTACTTCAGTGGGGCTTTGGTGCTCACTGAGTCTGCCCCCTGAGTGTGTCCCTTATGTATGTGAGGAGTTGTAATCTGGATGGTCCCACTCTGACCACTGGGTACATTGGCTCTTAGATCTCTAAGGAGGTGCTAATTTAGCCTCTGCCTGAGGCTACCCAGCAGGAGCCCAGCTGTGAAGTAATGCAAGCTGCTGTGGGGCCTTGGGCCTTCTTTTGGAAGTTCTGGGTTTTTCTGACCCAGCTGCAGTTTGTTAGGTAATTTTCAGATTACAAAGGGCCAGGCCTTTCAAATGCAAAAGCCTCTGCGCACAGCTTGGGTGGGGCGGGGTCTCTGGGGATCAACAGGGTGGAGCAAGCAGCTATGGCTGCTCCTCAGTCCTTCCTGAAGAGGCCCCGCTTCTCAGTGTCTCTGTAATCACTGCAAGTACCTCTGAGAGAAAGCTGCCCTTGAGTTCCGACCAATGCCAGACAGTCCAGTTTCTCCTGTAAGAGTCTGAGTCCCCAGAGACTCGCCCAGAACTGGAGTTCAGAGCAGTCAGGAGTTTGAGACTCCCTCCGGATTGAAAAAGACAACCCTGTCCTCAGCTGCCAGCCCTTTCTGCATGCGCTTCCGTACCTCTGTACTTTACTTCCACACCGCACCTCCTCTGAATCTCAGTGTGCTTTTCTCTTTCCTTCTAGTTGTAGAATTTTCACTCAGCCAGCCTTTCTGTGATTCTGGATGATGTCCATTTTGTCTGTTAGTTGTATTTTTGAAGTTGTTGTGGGAGGCAGCAATTTCCAGTGTTTACCTATGCCACCATCTTGGTTTCTCAGTACATACTTTTTTCAACTTTCATAAACCTTTGAGTACAAAGTTTTCAAAACAACTAGACACAAAAAACTTTTTTTGTTTTCAATGTAGAAGATAAACATTTCCAAACATTATTGGAAGAGACTCATCAAGTATAAAGGGTCATGGTATAACTATATAGAACGTGTAGAAAGCAAATAAATAGAGATATTTAAAACCATAAACCTGATTTAAGTAAAGTAGAAAAGTCTAGAGAAAACTGTCATAGGAACAAAGATATGAAAGCACCAAAATATGGAACACAGAATGACAGAGTATGGAATGGGAAACAAATAATGTTGGAGAATAGAGAAAGGGATAAAGGAAAGGAAGTTTTAAAAGTAATACTTTACAGGAAAATAACCTTCATTTCAATCTGTTAATCTTCTAAATAAATTAAGTTAAAATTCATAAATAATGTAGAGGCAACTATCCAAGACAAAAAGAAATCGAACTTTTTTTTTTCCTTCAGAAAATGGCTGAGATATAACTACTCAATCTTCTCAAGAAAATATTATTTTCAAAGTTGCTCATTTCAATATAGACAAACTGGCTAGTCTATCATTTGATTAGTTTCCCCTTACTCACAAAAAGAAAAAATTAACTAGCAATGAATAAGAAGTTTTGCTTTTGATGAAAAAGATGAGACGCTTAACAAAATGTGGTTTTATTTTCTTAATGTCAGTCCAACTTAGTTTAATAAAACCTTAACTTGAGAAAAACAAATTCTACAATCTGACAAACTTTATTTTCTACAAAGTCAAAGATAATTTTTTAACACAAATTTTACTCTGAAATTAGGTGGTGTAATTTAATATAATTCTAGTCAAAGACTATTATCATTCTGAAGATTCTGATAAATATTTTTCTTTCAAATAATTCCAAAATATAGGTGAAATAGTTTTATATTGTCCATTCTTCGTATAAATGATATTCTATTCTAATTTAAAAGGATGACTGCTGAAATACATTTTCTTTTCTCTTTTGCTTTATTCTTCCCAAAGATAAAGCCTTAATAGAAATAAATCACTTACCACTGACAAGCAAACTTCTCACTATCTATTTCCACTATTCCTGGAGGTGGAGCAACATGCTGTGCTACAACTGCTCTGGAAGCTAAAGAAAAAAATACATTTACATCATTTTAAAAAATTTAGTCATTATATGACATATTTAGTTCATGGATACTGAAGCAATTAATATTCACAATGAATACCTTTTAAAAGGTATATAAACATAATGAAAATGTCGAATTTGAGAAAGAAACTTACAATGGAGCACATATTATACCAAGCACTGTCTTAGATGCTTTATATGAACTATTTTTTTTAACCTTACCATCATTCAAATAATAACAATAATATGGATTATATTGCTAATATAAACTTTCTCCCATGGGTCAGGCACTAGGTTAAATACTTTACATACATTATCTTTCTTAACTCTTTTGTGAGATGAGTACAGATAAGGAAACTCAGACTCAAAGTGATTATAATACCTAACCCAAAGTCACAAAGCTCAGCTTATCAGTAAATAAGCACCTCTCACTTTAGTTACAGAAGCAGGTTGTATCAGAAATCATAACTCTTTTGAATTTAAAAGATGAATATTGAGTCTATTAGTGGCATATATAAAATTTCTGAGATAAGATTAACTTAAAGCTGAAATGCTATGCTATATAACAAAGGAAATAATAAAAACATTAAAAATATGAGTTAATATAAACATATAATTTATATATAATATGAATCTCACATATTTATATTAACTATTTATATTATACTATTTCATCACTGAATCAGCATGATTTTATAATTTTTAAACGTATAAAATGAACCCACTTTTTGGCAGGTGACATTTTAGCAAAACTTCTCAGAATCCTCAAACAGAACAAATGCATTTCTAAGTCACTGGAAGTAGAGGCGCTCCATAGCACAGCCAATCTGCGAATGATCGAAGGAATTCTGACCTTTGTTTGATCAGCCCCCGCCTCCCCACATTAGAGTAGCAGCTAATAGCAGTCATTTAGTGAACATTTACTCTGTAATAAACCACTTACAGAGTGGTTTTTTACATTATTTGGTTCACTATTATGTATAGGTCTAAATTTAATTATCCCCATTTTGCAGATTAAAAAATTAAAGCTCAGAGACTAAGTTCACAAAGGAACACATGATAGAAAACAGCAAAGCTGGTGTAGATGAAAAGCCTTCTTTTAGGATTGGTGGATTTGAATCCAGGTTTATTACATTTCAGAGTTTTATTGTGATATGCTGCTGCTTTTTTTTTTTTAATGGACTGATGCGGGGAGGGGAGAGAGAGAGGGGGAGAGGGAGGAAGGGAGAAAGAGAGAGAGAGAGAGAGAGAGAGAGAGAGAGAGAGAGAGAGAGAGAGAGAAGGAAGGGGGAGAGGGAGAGAAGAAGAGGGAGAAATATCTATTTGTTGCTCCACTTATTTATGCATTCATTGGTTGATTTTTGTATGTGCCCCGAGCAAACCTGAAATGGTGTTGTATGGGGACAATGCTCTAACCAACTGAGCTACATCACCAGGACAATATGCTGCTTTTTAAAAATTTAAAAGTTAAAATATTTCCATCACCTTTTATCCCCTCAATGCCCTCTTCTACTTCCACCCATCCCCTCCAACCCGCAATCACCACACTACTGTCCATGTCCATGAGCTCTTTTTCTTTTATTTTTTGCTCAATCCCCTTCTCTCCCCAGCTGTCTGCCTGCTCTTTATCTATGTGTCTGTCTCTATTTTGCTTGGAAGTTCAGTTTGTTCATTAAATTACACATACGCATACAATCATATGGTACTTGTCTTTCTCTGACTGGCTTATTTCACTTAACCCAATGTTCTCCAGATCCATCCAGGCTGTCACAAGGGTAAAATTTTATTCCTTTTGATGGCAGAGTAGTACTCCATTATGTAGATGTACCACAGCTTTTTTATCTACTTATGGGCACTTGGGCTGCTTCCAAATATTGGCTATTGTAAATAATGCTGTAATGAACACAGGGGTACATACATTCTTTTGAATTAGTGTTTTGGGTTTCATTGGATAAATTCCCACAAGTGGAATTACTGGATCATAAGGCTGCTGCTGCTTTTTTTAAAAATATATTTTATTGATTTTTTTACAGAGAGGAAGGAAGAGGGATACTTAGAAACATTGATGAGAAACATTGATCAGCTGACTCCTGCACACCCCCTACTGGGGATGTGCTGGCAACCAAGGTACATGTATGCCCTTGACCGGAATATCGAACCCGGGACCCTTCAGTCCACAGGTTGACGCTCTATTCACTGCGCCAAACCGGCTAGGGCGAGGCTGCTTCTTCTTAATAGAACATAATTAGAACCAAAATTACTTTCCTAGTGCAACCTCAGCTCATCTTTTCTTCTCCTCCTAACTTGAAAACACTGTTACAGAAAATACCTTTCTAGGGCCTGAACCTATGTAGAAATATTCCTTTTACTTCACCAACTGTACATGAAAGTATACCCTACTTAGACTAAAATATACTAAATCAATTAACAATTGCATGAAATATTAAAAATTATGTTAGTATTATGAGAAACTTTACAAACATAATTAAGGAAGAATGATGCAGCCACAGTTAAATTAAGAATATAATCTGGAAACAGAATTACTATGAAAGTGGCTACAAACTGAGAAGCATTTTCCTCAGGATACCTGAAGACCTTTCAAAGGATACAAAGGTGCTTATACATTAAAAGCATATTTTTTTTTTTGCAAATTTTTTTTCTTTATTGATTTTAGAGGAGTGAGGTTTGGGGGCAGGGGGACAGGCTGCTCCACCTATCCATGCATCCATTGGCTGCCCCTTGCACATGTCCTGTCTGGGACTGAAGGCACAACCCAGTCACACGGGGACAACACTCTAACCAGCCAAGCCGCCAGGCCAGGGCAGTAATTAACTTATACTTTAAAAGGAATCAATTTACAGATACTCAACTTTTGTATATATTCTTTCCTACAACTGTGTTGCCTGAATACATCACCTCCTCTTTGATAACTGCTCTTCTCCAACTTTGGAACAGAAAGTTTTAAATCTCACCCATTCTTAATAATACTGTAGGATTATGGTGAAGAAATTTAGATGTCAACCTAAAAATGGGTGAAAGATTACTTAACTTTTCATAGTGATGAGAGAAAGTGAGGGAAAAGTTTGAAGATGACCATTCCCTAAGAAAGCAGTATTAAACTAGGGGGGCAGAGGTGAAGGGTGTGAGCAAAACTATAAATGGTAACTAATCAAATAATTAAAAAGCTGTCATTCATAATGAGCAAGTAATAAAGTGCTCACTAGATCAAAAATGAACTCTTTTAGTCCTTAGAGACCTATTCACACCTTCTATAAATGAATGACTACATAAATAAACAAACGCAATGTTTAATTTCATCCACTTGTCAAATGAGGACCAAATCTTAGTGAGTTAATTCATTAAGGTCACAGGTTAGTGACAAGGCAAAAAAAATAACAGCGTTCATCGAAAATATCCCTGAATATTTTTCAAATAGTCCATTATGACTCTATATCACTGGTAATTTATTAATTCCTTTCTTGGTTGGACAGTTTCTCTATGGCCCTCAATTAATTTAATCTTCAGTTTCTTTGAGGATAAACATAGACCTCCACCACTTTCTTAATTGGCAATATGAAGTATTTCACTTCTTTTTAAAGTTTGAGAAACCATTAATATTCTGACCACTGATTCCCCAATATGCACTGCCTATTTGACATCTATTGCCTGTGGGTGAAACCTCATTGAATAGATTAGTAGTCAAAACTACCTATTTTTTTTCATGCCTTCTATTATTTGTCCAGTCTGTTGGTTGAATTCAAATTACATGAACATGTGATACAACTCTACCATATATTTCTGAAGAACATAATGGAAATCAATGAAATATGTGACATATTACATACTTTGAGTAAATACAGCATATAATCTTGATTCCATCATAGTAAAATAGAGATTGGGACCACAGTTAAATAAAAGGGGAACAAGATGGCTGGAGTGATATGATTAGAGTCTGAACTGAGTCATAAGCACTGATAATTGAAGAGGTCCAGGTATTTAGGAGACTCAACAAAATCTGGTGATTAAATGAATGTTGTAAAGATTAAGGATAATGAGATTTTGGTTTTAAGGGTAGTGTAGGAGGAGGTTGAGAAAGATCTTAATGTATTTCTAGCCTGAAATGAAGAAGCAGGTAAAGAGAGAGGATAAGGCATAGGAATGAGAAAATGGGAAAGACTGGTATTTAGAGCACAGCTTCAGAAGAAGTTAACATGTCTTCCTATGACAAGGGGAAGCTGAAAGAGAATAAAGTTCAGATGACAATAAGCTTGTAAGTGAAGGATTAAAAAGTTTGAAGAAATTTATGCCACACAGCATGCATACTACCTGCAAAGTCAGAGGTAAGATCAACTGAGAAAATGAGCACCCTCCATTAAAAACAAAATACAAGAAAAGAGAAATGTCTTGGGAATAGTGAGAGGTGGGAGAGCAGGTAAAGTAAAAGATGGATTGTTTTTTGTAGGACAAATGAAGGTGGAGAGAGCACTCTACAAAAAGACTGAAAGCGGTAAAATATAATGACTAAGCCAGAAGAAAAAACTCCAAGGAGAATATTAGTTATTAGAGAGGTCTGAATTTTAATGAAATATATTTGAGTTAAACAGAATTTACCCAAAGGACTCTAGGAAGGGTGTAGAATGCCAGTATACATGCTTGTACATGTGTTTGTGTACAAATGCACATGTGAGTGATCCTAGGCTCTGGTTCTGTGTTGTTTGGGCCAAGATTTAGAAGTATTAGGGGGGTACTGTCCTGATGTATTCTGATGACCACCTGAGAAAATTATAACATATGATTAACCCATTCTTAGTTTATCAATTTCCAATGACCAAAATCACATGAAGCCCACTTGTGGCACTTCTTATTGCTCTCACAATTGTGAATCTAATCCTTAACAATCCTCAAAATGCCGCTTAACTTCATCTCTCTATTATATTATTATATTATACTGCTCCTGGAATGTATAACTAAGAAATTAAAGTACATACTCAAGTTCTCCTTTAGCCTACTCTACTATAAAATCTCAGTTCCCCAAAGTGCACATCTAAAATTATCCTTAGTATTAAATCTTACACACCAATAACCACACTGAAAAAGAATATGTAAAAACACTAACCTGGGGCGGCTGCTACATGGATCTGGGTTTGAACTTGCTCTACAGCTTGCGTCCTAATTTCAGATAAAACTTGATGACTGGAACTTGGATGTTCAACGAGTTTTACTGCAGCTAGTGCATCAGGGCCAAACATTTGAATATCCATAGAAACTAGACATACTAACATGTCTAAAATAAATTAAAAAACCAATAGTTATCAATCAATAATATTTTTTTTAAAAAATCATACTGCTTAAAACCACATGCTGTACAGAATACTACTTCTCAAATCCAGTCTATAAATTGTTGTACATTAGAATTATCTGTGGATCTTTAAAAAAAGATTTTAGGCTCAGTCTCTAAAGAATGATTAGTAACTCTGAAGTGGGGGTTAGGTTTCCTTATTTTTAAGGAGCTTCCCAAGTGATTCTGATGTGTAGCCAGACTCAGGAACTCTTACATGGAAAGTGACACAATTTCTCCAAAATAATTTCATTCAAAATCTTTATTAACTCTGATTTTAAAATTCATATAAGAGGAAGAAAACATTGGAATCACTGACGAAAATGTTAACATGACATACTTCATTTAGTAAGTATATTTAACACTCATAACCTGCCATGGAGGTGAGTTCACTGGTTTTAAGGATAGTACCACTATCAGCTACTTCTAGGGACAAAAAGAAGCTTGTTTTACTTAACTTTAGTCGCTTAATAGTAACAGCTGACCATCTGAACTAGAAAGACCTATTGCCCAGGGAGTCAAATATAGCAGTTCTGTTGATTTCAAATTTCACATACTAATATAGTAACAGCAATAAAGAGAAGGAATAGGGATTACTAGTCACATACATCCTGGACTGTATTATGATAGAAGTTTCTTGCTCATCTAAAATAAGCAGAAAGAATAATACAAACAAATGTGTCTGAAAGGATAATGACTCCTCAAAATAAACAGTAAACCCCAAATATCAATTGTGATTTCATATAGCATCACATTACGTATTTTCATCTCAATTAAAAAAAAAAAAACAACTTACATGTGTCTTTGGTTTAGTCTTACCTATGCTCTTTTCTACTTTAGCAATTTTTGTACAAGCTACATCTCCCATTTCTGTGAGCATATATAGCACCTCGAGTGTTGAGATTACGAGCAGTACATCAGGTAAAGTGAGATGACAAATGATCTCTCTGTATGAGTCCTGATCGACATATTCACAAATCAAAACACCATTATCTTCTGCTTTGCAAAGATTTCCCAAAATTTCCATGCCTGAAAAGCATACACATAAAAAAAGGTATTTGGGGGTTTTTTTATCCTCATCCGAGGACATATTTTTAAAATTATTTTAATTGATCTTAGGCGGGAGGAACATCGATATGAGATATATCCGTCGACTATTGCTTCTTGTACATGCCCAACTGAGGATCAAATCCACAACACAGGTATGTGCCCTGGCTGGGAATCAAATCCAAAACCTTTTGGTGTAGGGGACAGCAACCCAACCCACTGAGTAGCCAGACCAGGGCTATACTAGTATTTGTTTTTTAACAGATGATAAAAAGTTTGGGCACTTACCCCTCATCTTTAAAAACCTATCCCTTGACATTAGGCATTTTGTAACAGTATGAAACATCAGATGAGTAGTTTTGAAATCAACAGGATCCAATAAAAGCTGGAAAAAGAAAGGACACTATTATTGAGGTACGCCTCTTCCAATGTAGTATATTTCACATTTAATAAAAAGTGAATAGAAAATATTGCATAACTTTAAAAAATGTAATTACTGTGAGCACAGCCACCACTACATTTGGAGCATCATTTCAAATATTTCTTTTACCCATAAAAGTGTGTGATACTTCTACAATACCATTTTAGGCAGAAACTATATGTAAGCATTGAATACTCTATAAGTATGGCAAATATAATAATGCCACATCCTGAAAATTTAAAGTAAATATTGTCACTAACTATTAAAACTGTTTCAAGTTACTGTCACATGCTTACCTCAGCTGCAATATTTCCTAATGTGTCAAGGCCTAATTGCCTTAGGGAAATAAAATGACTATGTGCAGAAAGTAATAGGAAACGAAGACAGGTACGATTAGCTGCCAAGAGCTTAACATTTCCCTCCTCAAAAGAAAGGTTTCGCAAAATCACTGCAATCTGAAGTACCCGCTGTCCTTCAATATCATTAATGCCCAGCTTTCGAGGTGGATGAAATAAAGACTCCCAAATCCATTCTCCTGATGTACCTTCTACAACAGAAAATATATATTATACTCATTAATATTTCATTTGTTATTATTGATATTTCAAAGTAATTTAAATTTTTTTCTTACTGACTTACCATGAGACTTGTTTCTATCAGAAATAAGATCACGGACTTCATTATCATCAACAATGTCTTTCCAAAACTATAATGAGAAATTGTTATGCTTAATTCCGACAATTTTAAAGAACTATTCTATTACTTTAAAAGTAGTCACACATATGATAAAACTTTTTTTAGTTCATATAGGTATCACTATATTCTGTGTATTTAATTCATTAACATAAATGCTTGATTTTCTATAGTTAAGGAACTTATACAATACAGTATCATTCTGAACCAGGGGGTCTTGGCTTGGGATCCACAGATCCTTAGAAAGTCTGTCAAAGAAATTAGGGCATATATGAACTTGAATGAGTGGGAAAAATGACATGTTCATAACCTCTAACTAAAATTTAGCAGTTCCTTAGCATTTTCTTCAACTCTAAATGTTAGACAAACCATAGTAATATTAGCAGTATCTGTGACATTGTCAACAATATGAATCAGATATTTTCCGATCACTTTATAGCTATGAAAAATATACAGAAAGTGTTTATGCTCATTAAAATTATAAGTCATTAATCCCACTAGCAAACTGCAATAATCACTGTCTTCCTGTTTATAGACACTCCAGAGACGCAGTTACTGAGTAAATCAATATCTAGAAGGAAATCAAACAGCAAGTGGTGAAGTTATGTGTTCCTGAATTGGTAACCCAGATATTGAAGTTGCTTTCCAGAATTATGTATCTACAAACTATTTTTTTAATCCATATGTGAGAGGAGATGAGTCAAAATCTCTTGTTTAATGTTCTTTTCCAGGCTAAGAAACAAATGCTTTTATACTGATATGTCTATACAAAATGACTGATATGTCTATACAAAATGAATTTCAATTTGTCTATGCCATTTAACTGCATTATCTTGTTATTTCTGTACCCAAAGAAGTACATGGGCTATTCACTTTTTATTTCTAAAACTTCTCAGATGTATGTTTCAAAATAATTGCATTTTACTTTGGGAAATAGGTTCTTTTGCAGTTAAAGTCACTAGTCTGAGAAAAAGTCCACCACCAAAGGACCCCTCAACAAAAAGAAAACCAAAACCCTCATGATTAAAAAATGTTAAGCAACAATAAAAAAAAAAGAACTAGGAATATGAAGAACAGAGACAATGTTTAATAACCAAGAAAAACAGGGCCACAAGAAATTCAAAGAAAGATATCAAACCTGAGGCTGGTGCCATTTTTGGGCTCAGCCCATCTGTTTTGCAGATGACCTAATAAATTTATAAATCTTTACCAAAAAAAAAAATCAAACATTAAATTTTAAATGACCATGGATAAATAGCTGAGTCATCAAGAAAATATAACAATCCTATACGTATATGCAATAACAGAGGCTCAAAATACATGAAGCCAAAAATGACAACTGAAAGGGGATGTAAATATTCATAATTATAGTTGATAATTTCAACACTCATCTCTCAAGAAATCATAGAATAATTACATAGAAAAGTAATAATAATAATAGAGAACTCTTGAACAACACTGTCAACCACCTTGATCTAATTGATATCAATAAATACTATATCCAACAATAGAACACACACTCTTTTCAAGTCACAGGAAACATTCATCAAGGAAGACCATATACTGAACCCTAAAACAAGTCTTGATAAGTTTAAAAGAACTGAAAACATATAGAATATGTTCTCTGACAATAATGGAATGTGATTAAAAATCAGTAATAATAATGACAGTGAAAGCTATTTTGAAAATGAACAGTCAGAAATTAAACAGAATACATCTATATAACCTATTAATCAAAGACAAAAATCACAAGGGAAATAAGACAATATCTTGATTTAAAAGAAAATAAAAAGTCAACATAAAATTTGGGGGACAAATTAAAGCAGTTTATAGACAGAATTTATAGCTTTATACACTGATATTAGTCAAGAAAAGTTTAGAACCAATGGTCTAAGATTCTATTTTAAGAAACCTGAAAAAGAGCAAAGTAATACATAAAAAAGTAGTGTGTAAATCAGTCAGTAAATGGAGATGGAGTCATTCCACTGTCCCTGAATTATTTAAAAAGTGTACAGTAGTAAAAGTACTAATTTACTAAATTAGTAAGAATTAAAACTATAATCTCTAGCGCAATCAATGAGAGAACAGAATACGTGTACAAATACCAAACTAAGAGGATGGAAAATTAATTACTGAACAATATTCATTCAAATAAACTGAAAAAAAGGTAAGAAGGGGAAAAAATCCAAAAACTGAACAGGCAGAATGTATAGAAACCAATGCAAAATATGGTAAATTTAAATATAATAATACAATTACATCAAAATTACATTTAAGGTAAATGGAATAAATACACTAATTTAAAAACCAAGTTTTTCACACTGGAGAAAAATGTTTTTTACAAAAAGTCATCTAAAAAATTAAGAATAAGAAAGGTTGAGCCCACCAGGTGTGGCTCACTGGTTACAGGTTCTATTTCAGGTGGGAGCAAATGCCCAGGCTGTGGGTTCTTTTCCCAGTAGGGGGCATGCAGGAGGCAGCCGACTGAGGTTTCTATCTCTCTCCCTCTCCCTTCCTCTCCCTTTAAAATCAATTAAAACATTTATATTCCACAAATGAGTGAGATCATGTGATATTTATCTTTCCCCAACTGGCTTATTTCATTAAGCATAATGCTCTCCAGGTCTGTTCGTGCTGTTGCAAACAGTAAGAGTTCTTTCTTTTTTACAGCAGCATAGTATTCCGATGAGTAGATGTACCACTGTTTTTCAATCCACTCATCTGCTGATGGGCACTCAGGCTGTTTCCAAGTCCTAGCTATTGTAAATGTTGCTGCTATGAACATAGGGGTACATATATTCTTTCTGATTGGTGTTTCTGATTTCTTGGGATATATTCCTAGAAATAAGATTACTGGGTCAAATCGCAATTTCATTTTTAATTTTTGGAGGAAACTCCATACTGATGAACAAAAATAGAACCAGAGACATAGAAGCATCAAACAGAGGGAAGATAGGGGTGGGCCAGGGGAAGTGGTGGTGGTGGTGGCGGGGGAGATCAACCAAAGGACTTTTATGTATGCATATAAGCAGAACCAATGGACACAAACAGTAGGGAGGTGAGGGCCTGTGCGAGGGGACAGAAGCGGGCAGGGAAAGGTCAATGGAGGAAAAGAAGACATATGTCATATTCTCAATAATAAAGAGTTTTTAAAAAAATCAATTAAAACACACATAAAGAAAGGTTAAAAGTAAAATTTGAACTATATAAACATCTACCAAATGAAAGTAGACATGGTTATACTGGTATCAGACAGGAAAAAAAAAAAGTAGATTTAAAGGCAAAAAAATATGCTTTACAGTATATACAATAGACTAGGAAGCTATAACTATAGTGAAATTCAGTTAGATATTAATAAGAAATAGAAAAGTAAAAAAAAATTCATATGACCCTGACCGATGTGGCTCAGTTGGTTGGGCATTCTCCCATACACTAAAGGGTTGGTGGTTCGATTTCCAGTCAGAGAACATGCCCGGTTTGGGGCTCCATCACCAGTTGGGGCATGCAGGAGGCAGCTAAATGATGTTTTGCTCTCACATTGATGCTTTTCTCCCTCTCTCCCTTTCTTTCCCCCTCTCCCTAAGAATCAATATAAATATATTTTTTAAAAAGTCCTATGTTTTTGAAAATTAAGAAAATTCCCTTCAACTAATCCATGTACCAAAGAGTAAAGCATAGTGGTAATTAGGAGATATTTTAAGCAGAATTAAAGATGAAATATTAATATTAAAAAGGAAAGAATTAAGTTAAATGTGTGCTTCTAGGGAATTTTATGGATTTAAATGTATTAGAAAAAATAAAAACAAAAATCAATGATGTAAACACCAGATTAAGAAGTTAGAAATTGTGTAGCAAATTAAACCCAAAGAACATAGTATATCGAAAATATAAACAGCAGAAATCAATAAAAACAATACAACAGAGATGATCATCTAATCATTCTTAACTTATTTGTGTCTTTCTGATTTCATGTGATAGTGATTATAATGACAGCCCCACTTTCCTTTGTGATTGCATATGTAAATATGTAAATAAACATTTTGAACATCTTATACTTAATTACCAATATTCTGAGTTAAAGAAAATTATCTGCTTAACTACAACCAAGAGGCTTAGATTTTAATGGGTAGGGTGAGGACAGGTCTTTGTGTCGGTTTGTGAAGTGGAGAATTTGAAATGCAACTTCGTATCATGTGAGAAATGTGAAAGTCTAGTAACCTCAAAAGAAGGGAGATAAAAAAGATTGTCTCTACTTGAGCTTTGAGTTAAAAAAACAATCCCCTAAATATTTCACTACTAGCCTGCTCTAGAACCCGCATGGGTTTTGTTTTACTATCAGAGTTATTTGAAAAGCTCCACTAAAGAAACTAATATGAAGTCATTCTGATCAGTATTTCTTTTCAATTTTTTGGCAAATGCAATACAGAAGTGGAAAAATAAACTCTCCATTTAATCTGTAAAAAGAAAAATCCCACATAAACAGGTCTGCTGAAATTTATAAACCAACATAAAACACAAAAGTAGAGTAGAAAGAGTTGCAAGAGGCTTAGCTATCAGAATTATCAGATGTACATGTTTGTGTGTCTGTAATTTATAATTTATATATAATATATATTGTTTACTCATTATATGTAATTTATATATTAATAAATTTTATCTTTTTAATATACTTTGAATATATATAAATTAAAATTATTAAAAACATTAAAGGGCTACTTTGGAAAATTACAAAATGAATTTCTAGAAATTAAAACAATCACTAAAATAAAACTTAACAGATGAGTCAAGTGGAATATTAGTCACAGCTAAAGAGTCATTAAACAAACTGAAAAACAGCCATTAGGAAATTACACTGCTGCTCAGAATCTGGGTTTCCTCAGATTTATTGTTTTATTAAAGATTTATCATTTTCAGAAATCAATGTTTACTAGAATAAGAACTTTATTTCCGTTTATTAGCTATTCTAAAAGCACTTTATGCAACTTAATCACAACTTTTAAGTAGATATCTCTATGTATTACAATAAAGATTAATGTATAGGTAGTATCATGTAAATAAATGATATATACATGATATAGGCCCTTGGCTACATGAATACAATGATTCAATATTTTAAAAAATGTATTCAAAATTACCTTAACAAAATCTCTATCAGTCTTCTCCTTCCATTCTTCTCCAAATACAGTAGAAAAGGATCCTAAAGCTAAAAGAATAGTATATTCAATAGCATGGAATTATTTTTATCACTTAATTCCTTAATAATAGGTAGGTGTAGAAAAACGGTAAAAACACATTTTAAGATATCTTCTTGTTCACTAAAAACTGTTTCATAGTAAATGATAGAAAGTCATAGTAATCTCTTTTGAAATAGTATTTCAAATTATGAAAACAAATATTAGATGGAAAAATTAATTTTTTGTTTCTTTTATTATATGTCTTCAAACACAAAGTGTATCAACATTCCACATTTTCAAAGGAAGTGGCAATATATTTATCGCTCAATTAAAATACCATGCCCTAAAAAATAAATCAAAACCTCTCAAAAGCCTAACAAAATCAAATATACCCAAAATTCTCATATTCAAATAAATCATTTTCATAATGTTAAAACAGTGTTTTAAGTATGGGGACTTCAAAAAGTCTCTGTACTCTGGAATGCTAAATTTCTGACTTTCTTAAATTGCATTTTCTAAATTATTAATGTTTTAGATTGCTACACTGAATAATTTATTATTTTAGGTAAACAAAAATGCTTAAAGAATGTAAGATAAACTGGGTCTAAAAAATATCATACTTCAGTGAACCAAAACTGTTAACATTACTTCTATCAAATATACATGTTTAGTCCTTATTCAGTGATTAAATGATAAGACTTCAAAAAAGATTATTCTGGTTTGAGAATATTCTTTCTAAAAACTTCATTTTAAGGTTTCTAAAAATGTGGAACAATTTTAAACTTCATTCAATATTAAACGCTGAACGTTAAATCTTTAAAATACCAAAATAACTAATTAAAAATAATACTGAATGCAAACTGTAATTGAAAAATAAAATTTAAAAATAAAGAAAATATTAGGAATCAAAGAACATAATATTGAGATGGAAATCACCAAATTTAGATCTTAAAAATTATGATATAAACTGAGAAGTACTGATCTCTGTCCCTTCCCCATGTAACCAAGAATAAGAATCGTTTCAGAAAAAGAAACTAATTCCCACTATTGTTTAA